CTCTCTCTCTCTCTCTCTCTCACACTCTCGCTGATGTGTTTATAATGGTGAATGTGGGCTGTGGGCAGGCATTTGGGCGGCTCAATAAGCCGGTTGTAATGGATTCAATGCTTTTGAATGCGAAAGCAACAGAGGCGGTACTAGATCAAGGCTGTTGCAGGGAGAAACTGTGTTCGGGGTCTGACCCACATCAGGGAGTCGTAGCGCAGTGGAACTGTGTGTCGCACAGAAAGACTTTGTCTTTTCCTCTGAACAAAAGTGACAGTGATGTAAATGTAAAGTTTTGCAACTGACTCAGGAGTGCATGCTGTACTTTTTTGTATTAGTTTGTTTGGTAGTGTAAGCATACACACTTAAAAATAAAGGTCCTTTACTGGCATCTATGGTTGAGTGAAGAACCTTTAACATCAATGGAACCTTTCCATTCCGCTTTGTAGAGGAAAGGGTTCTTAAAATGTTCTTTACACTAAGAGGAAAAAATGGTTCTTTTAAGAACTGTTCACTGAAAGGTTCTTTCTAGAACCCAAAATGGTTCTTCTATGGCATTGCTGTGAAAACCACCTTTTGGAACCTTTATTTTCAAGAGTGTGCTAGATCCCCTAAATTTGAGTGTCAGCCTCAGACGACACACCCACGTCCCGCCCGCAGTCTGTCCACTGGCCGTCTGATCTATATTGCACATAAAACTGACAAGCACAATGCAAAAACCAGTATCAGATTGAAAGAATCAACTGAAAACTACATTATCAAATGTTCTAACCTTGTATTAAATATTAAAAACGTAAAGGGATACTCCACCCCAAAATGAAAATTTTGTCATTAATCACTTACCCCCATGTCGTTTGTGATCTGCCATCAGTGGTTCAACCGTAACGTTATGAAGCGACGAGAATACTTTTTGTACACGAAGAAAACAAAAATAACGACTTTATTCAACAATTTGTTGAATTTGTTGAAGCAGCGTACGCTATTCTGTGTCAGCCGCGACACAAGGACACGTTTTCTACGTGTATTTACGCTTTGATTTGAACGAAAACAGCTCATCCGTGCAGCGCGGCTGACACAGAATAGCGTACACTGCTTGCGTTCAGTGGTTTTTCTCCAAAATGACGCTACGGTGATGTGGAGAGACACAGAGGAGACAAATTGTTGAATAAAGTCATTATTTTTGTTTTCTTCACGTACAAAATGTATTCTCGTCGCTTCATAACGTTACGGTTGAACCACTGATGGCAGATGGACTATTCTGACGATGTCTTTCATACTTTTCTGGACCTTGACAGTGTAATTTACTTGGCAGTCAATGGGACAGTCACAAGCCTCCTGGTTTTCATCCAAAATATCTTAAATTGTGTTCCGTAGACGAACGAAGCTTTTACGGGTTTGGAACGACATTGGGGGTAAGTGATTAATGACAAAATGTTCATTTTGGGGTGGAGTATCCCTTTAAAGAACTCACACTTGTTAAATTGTTGCCATTTAGCTCAAACAACAGAGCATGGCGCTAACAATGCCAAAGCCATGGGTTCAAATCCCAGGGAAAGCAATAACTTATCAAATGTGTACCTTGAATGCAATGTAAGTCGCTTTGGATAAAAGCATTTACCAAATGCGTGAATGTTTTTGTGCACCACTAGAAATATACAGTGCATGTTGGGCAAGAGCTACTCTATGTAACATGGCCCAGGTTCAATGCATGCTGAAGTAAGTCAATTACCCTTTTTTAATACATCAAGTAAAACTGCAGCTCTGTGCCAATAGATGTATAGCAGGAGCAGGATCCCATCTGGTTTCAATAAAATTCATGATTTCATTGGCTTTATTAGCTTGACCTCAAATCACTGTATCTTATATGGCCGCTTGAACTCAAGCTTGCACTATTGGTGATAAAGTTAAAAACCTGCTACAGTAATAACTGTTGTGATTTGTATTGAATGAACAGTTACACAACTGGCCACAAGTTTGGGGTCAAAAAATGTGTTCATGTTTTTGAAAGAAGTCTTTTATGCTCAAGGCGGCTGCATTTATTTGATAAAATATATATTATATTATATTATATTATCAATATTGGTAATATATTAATAAAATATCTGTTTTCTATTTTAATATATTTTAGGATGTAATTTATTCCTGTGATGTCAAAGCTGAATTTTCAGCAGCCATTACTCCAGTCTTCAGTGTCACATGATCCTGAATATGATGATTTGATTCTCAATAAATGTTTCTTATTATTAACAATGTATAATGAAGAATTGTAACTTATAATTTGAAGGCCATGATCTGCGACGTCAGTTACATTTTGTTAAACGTTTTATATAACTGTGTGCCACATTTTGGTATGTTTAAAAATTAAAGATTCCAAAATTCTAGGTTCCAAAATCATGTTATATAAATGTAATAATTCCATTGATTTTTTTTTCTTCTTTTTTTATTCAACAATTTGGATGCACCCACCCCCCAAAACTTTTTTTTTTTTTTTTTTTGAACAGGGTAGAAGAACAATGCCTGTGATTTATATCTTTTCTTTCCCTTTTTTTATTTTAGACAAATTCTTATCACAAATCTGCCCATATTCCTGCTAATATTGGTTGTGTTCTCAGCAAAACGACACCTATGTGCAATTTAAATTCTTAAACTATTTCAATATAAATACTTTTAAATCCTCCCTTAAATGGCACATGAAAACAAACTCTAGTAGGCAGCTTTCCCAACAGTCAAGTGGCCTTTTTCTGTCTACATAGGTGGTTCTTGGCCAGAACAAGCTACAATCAATGTGCACCAGACTTAATCCCGCAAGTCAAAAGCCATACCCGAGACTATGTGGATTCAGTCAAAGTAATTAAATCAGAGTGTGCGGACGTGTCTTGGCCATCATGCAGAGGATAAAGCAGCCATGTCAGCAGCTGGTACTGAAGATTTCTGCACTGCGAGTGACACAGAGACCCACATGCCCTCTTGAAACATCTGAGCGCTGTCATAACATTCATTTTCTAACTTCAGATCATACTGGATGAACAAGGGCCATTTTCCCTGTCTTTGAGTCCGCTGCTGTTGTTTGAAATGCAACAGAGATGAAAGATAGCAGCAAATCACTTGCAAGTGATCTGATAAGCATGTATTTCTGGTGTAGACAGTTACGCGTTTGGTTAACAAATAACGCACTGTAGTGTACTTTCACACAGTAGGAGGGACAATATTGGGCTTTTACACTTAGAATTATTCACTTAGGCTTCACTTTTTTATTCCTGTGTTAAAATAATCTTGAGCCATTTTTCACACTGGGAAGTCAGGTTTTGAAATTTCACTGTGTTTATGATGAAGCTGATTGTCAAAAAATCTTGCTAGTTAAGTTAGCGTATTAGCATAAAAACATTGGCTTACTAGAATCTCATGCTGTTGATCAGACATAAATCTGCTCTGGTTGTCTTAAGTCTTACAAAAACAGAGAAGGACAAATCAGAAACTTGTGTTGTCACTGTTCAATATTTTTAACTGCTTTCCCCAGATGCTAAACATTTAAAGAGTTTGTGAAAGTTTCTGTGGCTGTACAAAATGCATGAATGTTTAATGAGGCAATTTATGATTGGTTGTCTGATGCTAAACAATTTGCTGTTACAAGCACTTTATTTTTTCATATTGTATATTTGTGGCAGTGCAATTTTGGGTTTGGACTGCAAAATGCATGCTTACCTTTTTTGTTTGCTTTTTTCTTTTCTTTTCTTTTTTTAATACAATCATGAAATGTTGCTTAATCCAACATTTTATCTAAGTTAAAAAAGATGATGCCTCAGGATTTACTGTAGCATGGTGTAAAAAGCTCTTTTAGTGGCAGAATGTTTCTTTTATTGTTTATTTGATTGGTGTAAATGGCTTAAAGGTGTATAAACAATTTCAGTCGTTTTGCTAACTTCCTTATGCAAAATGCTGTCCTCCAAAGACATGCTAGCCAACCTGATATCAGCAGACCTAAGGTGTTTATTGGTTAGCATGGTTCAGATAGCCTCTACCGGTAGATATAACTACAACATTATGGGCGCAAATAGCATCTTCCTCCATTGGCAGCCATTCAAAATAATCATGCTTTCTGACAAATAATTCACAGATATTTAATTATATAGTAGATGGTTTAATCAGTGCCCTATTTTTGAAGTGCCCTTAAAAGCGTGAAATGGGCTTATATTTATCTTCTGCCGTTCACGTCACAGCTCAGGACAGTCACTAATGCAGGATTTGGGGCCTTGTGTATTCTTGTGCTGCCATCAACCAACCAGTGTCATCAGCGAATTAGATATTCATTAGTAGTACTTTGCTGATTGAACTAAATTCTAATGACCATCGCCTGAAAAAATGGTTAATGTTTTAAAAATTGTTGTTCAAGGTTAAGTTTTAAACCCAGATAAGCTACTTTCAAGATACAATGTGAGCTAAAGATCTTGCCTTGTTGTCCTTTCTGTCCCTTGTGCTCTCCTTGTTTCTAACGTACTCCTTAGCAGTGACCTGAATTTGTCTTTCCTTCTCTCTGTTGCTAAGAGTGTATGTTTTAAAGAGCTCAGAGGATAGACGTATCATAAGGG